TCAGTCAGTTAAGAGTCGGACTTCAGTTCAGGTCATGATCTCACAGTTTATGAGTCTGAGCTCCATGTCGGGCTCTGTGCTGACAGCTTGGGAGTCTGGAGCCTGCTTGGGATTCTGTGTCTCCCTCTCTCTTGGGGGTGGGAGAGAGAGGAGAGGGAGTGTGAGCTGAGAAGGGAGAGGGAGCATACACAGAACCCGGCGCAGGCTCTCCAGACTTCAAGCAGTCAGTCAGCACAGAGTCTTCTACATATGGCTTTCTTGTACTCATAAACTGTGAGATTGGCACGGAACGAAGTCTCATTTTAATTGATTGAAAATGAAGCTCGGGTTTTTTTTTTTTTTTTTTTACGTATCGTACGATGAATTTTAAAGGATGTGGAAATGGAAAATTACTAGAATATATATATTTATAGAATTCGCTTTGGCTTACATTAAAGAAACTTGATTTCGTTATCAAACTAATAGTGTATAGGTGTTTTTTTTTTTAATTTTTTTTCAACGCGGTCATTTTTTGGGACAGAGAGTATAGAGCATGAACGGGAGGCAGAGAGAGAGAGGGAGACATAGTCGGAAATATGTCGCGTTTGAGCTATCAGCCCGACGCGCTCAAATCACGGACCAATAACGCGACCTGGCTAGTCGACGCGAATCATCCGGCGCCACCCAGCTGCTTCCAGGTGTTTTTTTTTAATAAAGGAATTGACATAAGATCTGTTGAGGTTCCTTTTCTATGTAGACTTAGACTGCATAAGGGTGATAATTTTTTGGTATTTTGATTCAATATATGCGCTATTAACTATATTTCTCTGAAGAAGTTGGAAAAAAATGCATTGATGATGCTTTAGAAAAATAAGATTTCAAACCTTTTAAAAACACTTTTACAAATATTGGTGTTTGTGAAGATGTAAAGATTAAAATGCAGCAAAGCAATTTTTTTTACAATAAGTTGATGACCTTAGAAGTAGGGTAAGTAATTTTTTCTTTTGAATGATTGGATATTGAAATTATGATAGCACTCTACTTCTAGGAAGAAATATTCATTGGAAAAAAAATGAATAAAAAGGTTTTGGCAAATTCATAAATAAATAAGTGCTCATTTTTTTTTAAAATATTTTATGAGAGAGAGCAGCGTACGGGCAGGAGAGGGGCAGAGAGAGGGAGACACAGAATCCAAGAGGTTCCAGGCTCTGGAGTTTGTCAAAAGCACATATCTGGAGTGTGGGGCTTTGGAAACTCATGATCCAATTTAAGATCATGACTGAGTCAAAGCCAGACATTTTAACTCAATTGAGCCACCCAGGTGCCCCAGCAAGTGCTCATTAAAAACTAAAAAAAGCTCGAGGAATCCTGCATAACATATCGGTCTGTTGTTTTCAAATACAACATACAATGCTACAATATATAGTGATCCCAATTATTAAATTGTTACTCTAAACTAGGGAAAAATAGTCACCTGTTTGGAAGTTTGAGCAAATCCAAAAAGCTCTACCACAGCATATTCTTCATGTTATGTCAGAGCTGGTGTTTTCAAAATAAACAAATAACAAAAATTATCTACAAACTGGGACTTGATTTATCATATGGGCGTATTTTATACATGAAAGTGATATTGACCGTCTCCCCATTTAGTAGATTTGTTATCATGAATCTAAAAATTGAGTAAAAATTTCTCTTTTATCCATTAGTTACATACATAGAGCTTTGTAGAATGTGGAAGGTAACTGATGCATTGCATCATAACTAAAGTTGCAGGAATTTATACATAAATTGCATTTTTATACTGAGTTTGTTACCATTGGGCTGGGTGGCTTTAGGGCCGCCTTTAGTTTCTAAACCACACTTCTTTTAATACTTTGGCAATACAGATGAATGGCAAACTACAGGATTTGTGAGGATTATAAAGCTCCCTAGCATACAATGCTAATTTTGTACTTGGTTTTAGGTTATTGTGATGGTTTACATGTATCCTTTTGTTTCAGGAGCTAATAAAAGGACATCCAAATTGTTTCAAACTATTTTGTTTCTTTTGGAAGATGTGGGTAAAAATATCAAGTATATTAAAGTGTCGATCTCTTTAACTATGATAAAACAAGGACCTCTCCAGTGAAGATAAGTACTTAAATGTGTGCATGCTTGAGGAGGGAGTAAGGATTAAAGGTGTGTCGTTTAATAAAATTAACAGCTCAAACAGTTGAAAAGAAATTTGAGAACTTTATAAAAAACTTTTTAGATAAAATAAATGTTTCTATAACCTGTGCTAATGTTAAGTCACAAAGATGAAGATCAAAAAGGACATTCTGTACATAGGCTCCCTGATTACCATGTGAATTTGAGACTGGCCAAGACTCCTGGAGGTCTTGGGTATGCTTTATTTTATCTATGCATTATCTAGCATTATTTTGTTTTTCTTTTATATTATTTTCTTACTTCCCATGCTAGGACTGATATTGATTTTATTTAAAGTGGTTCTGCTTCTGTGTGCCTATAACACTGAGAACAGTACTGGATGTAATATCTTACTCAAATATCTGAATCTTTATTTAAAATAAAATAATTCATTTAAACAAATTCATTTAAGGGGCTTGGGTGGTTTGAAGTATATGCATCTGATTGGGTCATCGTGATCTCACAGTGCATGAGTTCGAGCTCTCATGGGCCCTTGTGCCACAGCTCCAGAGCCTGGAGCCTGCCTCCTGGGATTCTGTGTCTCCTCCTCTCTCTCTCTGCCTCCCTGCTCTCCAGCACTCTTTTGGTCTCTTTCTTGTCTTCTCAAAAAATGAATAAATGTTATAAAATTTTTTAAAATTCAATAAATAATTTTCAAAAAACTTTTCAAATAGGATAATGCCAAAAGAATTATATACATTTATAATTTATTTTATCTGTTATTTAGAATGTACCTGAACTTAGGTATTTGAAGGTGGAAAAGAAAGGTGTATTCACTCTAGAATTAGGGATTTTAGGTTCATCTATTCCATCTAAAATAAAGGAAAAATATGTGGTGGGAGATATACTCAAAAAATGAAAACAAGAAAGATGTTTAAAAACATAAACTCATTTTCATATAATACTGGAATTTTATTTTGAGCCTTTATTCCTAGGTTTACTGTTTATGCAAAGTACATTCTAAAATTATTTAAAATCTTGAATTCAAAGTACTCATTATGCACATTTTTTTTTTTAAGCATTGGTTGCCTGGTTTGAAAAATCCAAGGAGATTATTCTCAGTCGAGGAAATTCAAAAGATGGCAAGCAGCCATAAATATGATAGGAAGATCTACTTGATCTTTGATGGTAAAATCACATTGATTAACTAATCTACAAGTCTGTTTATTTAAAAAAACAATTTGTAAATTTATATGTTCTGAGCCTCAAAAGTCACTAATGAATTAGTATTCTGATTTTAAGTACTCCATTCAGATTAATTTAAATTTTATCCTGATTTTAATGTAATTTAAATAGTTAATAAACAAAGCTAAATAATTACATGGTGAGTTCCAAATGTGATCTTGTTATTTTAATACATCATTTTACCTATTTATAAGATAGTAAATTTTGGCTAAACTAAAGATATTCACTTTTTTTTTCAGGTCATACATGACATTTGGGGCCAGCATAATAAGCACTTTTACTTCCTTTATTAAATCAATAATTTCCTATTAGAGTTTTAGTATAAATTTCAGCAAGGTAATCCCCAGAGACAGTTACTACTTAGGAATCTACTTAGTTAATTTTGGGATCAACAACCTTGTTTCAGTATAAAGGACAGATAGCAAACATTATAGCTTTTATATTAGACCAAGAAAAAAGAAAGTGACTATTATATAAAATACTTATATATAACAAGAGAAAAACAAAATATCCACAGATGTTTTATTTATATACAACTAAAAATATTATGTAAAATTCAATTACCAATGGGTAATAGGTCAACTGAATGAGAATAGTACTCTGAGGGGATGACATTTCACTTAATTACGTCTGTTAGTGTTTGGCTGTTATCAAATTCATTGCAAAATGTTCATTTATGCTTATCTGCAATGAGAGGATTT